TGCAGCTACATTGCTAGATGCCTCTAAATCCCACACACTGGTCCTTTAAGTGGTTGGCATGTATTCATCACTCAGATATGGTATTTGTCACTTAAAAAAATATGAGTTGATCTGATAAAGAGCAAAATCTTTGTCCCAAGGTTAAGGCATAAACTACCGAGAGTGAAACACGATGAGCAGACACAGAGAAATAATGTGATCAAACTGTGGGAAGAGATGAGTCCAACAGGGAGTGAGTGTGTTATTTTGGGATCTGAAAGAAATGTTGTATAATCCAACACAAAAAACTTTAAACCAAGCAGGAAATGAGATGTTCTTCTACTTTTTCGATAAAGGCAGCAGATGTTGTGATAAGTAAAACACAGAAAAAAAGAGAAAAAGCAAGATGAATTTATCTTGGTCTCAAATGTGTGTACACAAGCTCTCGTTTGTTATTTGGGAGAGGACTATGTGTGAGAATTTGTCTGTGAGTTAATGTGAAATAGAGAGAATGAGAGAAAATCCATCCAAGTCAGAGGCTGAGAGTAATGCTTAAAATGGAGCCGTAGCTAATCGACTCTCTGGGCTCTGGCTTTATTAGATAAAAAAATCAGAGAGAGAACTGTAGAAAAGCCCTGCTGTTGTTCAGCTTGGCAAAGTCTGAGGACGGCAGCCCGCAGGGATCCATGATGGCTTTCCTTACCTTTGATATGGTGATTAACATTTGCCTCTGAGAAACTGAGACTGCTGCTTCGTCCAACACTGAGCAGTGGTGCTTTATAAAATACAAAATTGTACAAATTGTGAAGCAAATTGTCTATGAGCAACTCTACAAATAGGCATGCAAGAACAAACGTGGGTTTTCATAATAGGCCTGTCCAAATTTTTTATTTTCTTGGGTGTAGATGTGCTTGAGTTAGATGAAGCAATGGCAGCTTTGATCAGTTCCAGGCTTTGGAGCGGGATCACTAGCTTAAGAAAAGGAAAATGCAGCTGGCTTTATTGAGAGGAAAAACACATTTCGGCTGTGTGGGAAAAAATATTATCAGGGTCAGAGAGCAGGCAACACTTGAAAATGTGAATAGTAAGCTAATCTTTGGATTAGACACTCGATTTGGAAACAACTATAAAATAATCATTAAAGTAGTTTCGGAAAAATGTATTCACTGAACGACTTTTAGCTGACAAGATTGATAAAACTCTCATATCTGTTCCAGCCAGAAGAGTTTACATAGCTTAACACATAGATATAGATTTGAAACAGCTAGCATAACTCAGTCCATACATCTTTAAAGCTCACGAATTACTTATCTTTTTCCCATTTGAGCAGTTTTTTTGTGGGTTAAAGAAATGTATAACGTGTTAATGAGCTTTAGAGATGCTGGTAGGTGGATTAGCTTCGGACAGAGCCAGCTGTTTCCAGCTAACCGTCTGCTGGCTCCAGCTTTATATTTAATGGACAGACGTGAGAGTGGTATACATTTTTTTTTTATCTAACTCACCCTCTCTATCTAACACAAGAAAGCACATAAGTGTATTTCCCAAAATGTCGAATTATTTCTTTGAATGTGAAATTGCAGCTTGGTTAGCTTAGCTTAGCATAAGTACAAGAAACAGGGGGGAACTAGCTAGCATGGCTCTGTCAAAGCCAGCACCTCTAAAGCTTACTAAGTAACTTGTTTAGTCTCTCAAACGAGATATATTGTGTTGCAAAAGTGACTTTGGCATTTATGCTAAGCTAGTCTCCTGGCTTCAGCTTCACAATTAACAGACAAATATGAGAGTGGTGTCAATCTCTTCATCTTCATCTTCAGCTTGTGACGATAGACAGTTGAGGTAATGAAAGACGAGTGCAGTTAATGGACCCTGAACGGACCAAAATGATAAATCCTCTACATTAAAACAAATTGGTGCCTCAGGGTCACCTTGGTCCCGATCTTTCATGAATTCTTAACTCTCTGATAGGTAGATAGGTTTGAGTGAATTACCTCAGGAGAAATTAGTCCTGAAGTCAAAGTCTGACTAATCCCCTTGAAGTCATTTGAAATATTATTGAAGTGAATTAGCAGACAGAGACCCTGACTGACCAAAGGGCTAAGAGGATTTTATGTTTTTTCTTTATTATTAATCTGCTAATGGCTCAGGCCACTGATTTATAATATCATATTACTTTGTTCATTGAGGTCTGGCCATGAATGAATAAGCAAGGGACAGATGTTATTTTAAGGAGGCTGTGAAATATGTGGCCAAAGGTATGTGTACATGGCACACATTTATTACCGCCTCCACCAGTCTGGGAGGGTTTGGCTCAGAGAAGACGTTCCAGTTCATCCTACAGGTGTTGGATGGGGTTGAGGTCAGGGCTCTGTGCAGGGGATACCATTCATTTCTGGATCTTAGTTTGTGTACAGAGCATGTCATGTTGAAACATCCCCAAACCACAAAGATGGAAGCTGTTGGTTGGGTGTGGTTGGAAGTGCAACAGAGCACATTTCTGACCACACTGATGAATGATGCTGGTATTAAGTCCAGTATAAAGTGACCCCGTAAAGATGAATGTGTTTTACCATCATACTGACCCTCCCACCTTGTTGTCCCCCCCCGCAGAGCCTCGCCACCTGGGAGACAGAGAACAAGATCCGCTGTCAGCAAACTCTGGTAGATGGTGATGGCCCCAAAACCTACTGGACCCGAGAACTAAACGGCGATGAGCTCACACTGGTGAGCGCACAGCAATGACTCATCATCTTCCTGAAAGCCTCTTAATAGATTACTGTTTAAGAAATAGAGAAAAAATCCCTATTTACATACCAAAAACTCAGTAGATTATGGAACTCTCATTTCAGGCTGAGGTCTCGGCTCAACAAAGAAAAGAAGTATTAGAGAGCATGATCTGATGGGTAGCTATCTGTATGGTTTGTCTGTTACATGCTGTTCTCATGGAGACCCTGACAACATCAGATGCATTAAGATTGGATATTCGAGCAGCAAGTGTATTCTGTTTGAGAAATGGTTAATGAAACGAGGCAGGGAGTGTATGAAGTCACCCTGGAGATTCATCCGTAAGGGAAATGAGAGAGGCCGTTTCCCAAGGAGCCGAGCTTTCATCCACCCCGTGGAGAGATGTGAAAGGAGAACAAGAGGAGCTGCTACGCTGACATTGCAGTAATACCCTCTGTATTTAGCTAGATTAATATGGGCAAAAGTCAATGGGTCTAAAGCCCCTCGAACGATGTGCAGGGGACCAATGGACCGGACGAATAGTTCTCAGGGATTCAACAGCTTTCCTCTTACAACGCTCCCACGCTCTGCTTTGTTCCTCGAGAACTTGTAAGATGAATGTCCAAAAGGCAAAAGCTTGAAACAACAATATAGAAAGTTAAGATGCAGAAAAAGTAATCAAGGATCAAGGATGCAGGACATGTATTAATCTTTATATAACACGAGGCTGTACAACAAAATGAAAGTTTGCAGCCCCTTCCTGCTACGCATATAGAAAAAGATCATCAGACTGAGCACAGACTTTTTTTAGTTTGTGTAGCTTATTATTACCGGACAGAAGCAGACATAGTAAGCCATCTCATATGAGTCACTCGACTCAGAAACTAAAAGCCAGTCTGAGATTTACTGTTGTCCAGCGGGTTCTCTCTCCTTCTCTCTTCTTAGTATCTGCCATCGTCCTCTTAGGTGAAGTGAAGCTGTTATTTTAAGGTAGAAAATCTACATAATTAGGCTTTAAATAGTATCTCAATATTCCACTAGAGGCTCCTCATTGTTCAGACCTAGAAGAAAGCAGAACATGTGAAATCTTTTCTGATGTTTAGGCGATAAAAGCAGAATGTGTGACAGTGCCTGATACTCTGGTGACACTCTGGCCCGGTTGCCCTGGAGGAGCTGAAGTGTTTCGTGTACTAATGGAGATTGATCTGGCCGAGCTGTGACACCAGCTGAGTCTCTGTGCTTCTCTGCTCTTCTTACCTCCGTCCTCCCTGCTGTCACGCCACCATGCAACCAGCAGATAGTCCACGTTTACAGCGCAGCTTGTCTGAATTTTGAATTTTTACAATCAACAGCAAAAAGCTACGCGGAGCCACATTCTTCCCTCATAAAGTCGAGATTACAGATAGGTAGAGTGTGAGAAATTGGTTCCCAGTGCATGCAGGTTTGTATTGTGTTGCCATGACAACACTAACAAGTGAATCTTGTCAACATTCACCAGAGACCACTGCCCTAGTTTTGGTGCCACAGCAGCTTGAAGGTGTGTAAGCATGAAGGATGACCAACAAAACTTAAAACACCATAACTGAAAATTTCAACCCTGTATCCTAGAAATGTTGTTTAGATATGACTAAATTCTCAATTACGTTGTGGTAGCAATAATCGCTGCTGGGATTATGTTTGGAGGCAACATTTTTTGGATTGAATAAACCACAAAAGTGTATGGGAGGTGGTCAGGGTGGATGCAGGGTGTACAAGCTGTAGGACTTTGACGCTGGATTTTCAAAGTCCCATCTGTAGTCAGGATTTGGCAATAGATGCACTTTGGTTAAGGTTAATAAAAGACTCTGGTTTGAATCAAATTTTAATAAACATGTTGTGTTTCATGTGTTTCAAGTTACTGAAGAGTTTTTATGTTTATTAAACCAAGACCACAATCTTTCCTTAACCGTAACCAAGTCCTGCCAGTGCCTAAACACCATCTTTTTAATGAACATTTTACATGACTTGTCATCATATCATATCCTGGGGAGACGTAATCTGGCCGGCATTATGTTTTCTTCAAAACGTATTTGCTGTTGCAAATTAGTTGTATATAAAACTAATTTCTCGGAGATGTTTACAATTCCAGTAAAACACATGTCAATGAATCTATAGCAAATGGTTACACAGTTGGAGTTGTCAGAAAAAGGTCTCAGGTAGTAATGCTCATGCTCTACATCTGTATGAATATGACTAGACGCCACTGCTGGAGAAGCATGAATGACACAGGCAATGCCAGTCAGCTAATGTAAGCACGACTTTGGGACTCTGCCACAAATAACACTACACTATAAAGCTATACTCTTACTGTGTGACAAAATGGATCAGCAACTACTCCAAAACTTATATAGAAATAGTTCAAAGCGTCAGTTTGTAAATGAACATGAAGGCAGAATGCAGCTTCACACCCAAACAAAGACAAGAGCTAAAGAGCTGCTTTAAGGAGCTCCTAGTACTCCTAAAAAGATAACTGTAGTGTCAGCCTCACTGGCAGGTTGATCTTTTCATTGTTTCCAGGGTTTTCTCATCCTGCAACCCTAACCTTTCTTACCATGAAGAAGTTATTTAAATATTGAATATTAGTACCACATATTAAATTTGAAAAAAGATGCTTCCACAATGACCAAATCGAGTACAGTATTTGTTAACCAAGTTCAAACTACCCAATCAACTAAATATCTCTACATCAGTTAGGAAATTACATCGGTGCAGTTTAATAGCAGACCTAAAACTCCAGCAATGCAAGATATCTTTTCAGAAGCTTAAATATGTGATACTGATTGAATAAATACTGTATCATTCAAATCCTGGAAACTTTTAAGCCTCTCTGGAAAAAAAGAGGCATGAGTCATCTCTGCACCCAGACAAGCTCTTAGATGAGCAACTACAAAAACCAAAACAGACCCTGTCTGAATCTAGCTATCTGTTTAAAAAGAAAAGCCCCAGACGGAGAGACAACCCAACAATTGCAGAGCTTCAGCTTGAGACTCAAAGGAGGACTAGCGATCATAAAGCAATGGTCTGATTGTCTGTGGCAGTTCACACTGTAAGTGGGGCACATTTCCATACGATTTGCATGATCCGTTTAATTGGTTTAGTCTGAAAATACTTTAAGGTTTTATATACAATATTCACTTCCAACTGGATGTTGCACTGGATCTATTGGCAGAAATGGAATATAATATTCATAAGTATGTTTTCTATAGTCTATAATCACATGAAAATAGGAATTGTTATGTTTTTGTTACTTTAGAGTAAGCCTTTTATATCTACAGACACCACAGGTCACTATGTAATCAAACCCCAGAAAGGCCATAGCAGCACAGGGCACCATGATTCCAATATATCTTTACATAACAAATAGTAGTTTGCAGCTATAATAATGTTCTAAATCTTATATATATATATATATATAGTCCTCCATCAGCCTGACATAAAATCAAAAAGTGATGGCACATCAGAGGACTGGACTCAATGACTTCAACCTTGTTCGTGCAAGAGACGCATGAATCTGTTATTAAACAGTTTCTTATGGTTTCATCATCAACAGTTTGGCCTACATTGATGGCCATAAGACTATGATGTTGTGACACTTGCATCATTGCTTTATAGGATTTCCTTGACATTTTGAAATTATTTATAGGCCTGCCAATTTTACTTCCCTCATATTGCAAACAATCTGGTAATACTACCATAACTCAACTATCTTTAATGAAGTTATGTTCTTTCACGTCAAAGCTGAATGCAGAGACTGCTTTGAAGAGGTTTTTGAGGGGAACAGACAAGAGTAGAGACTTGCAAGGGTTCAGTATGCTTATGAATTTCGGCCAAGGCTTTATGGCATTGTGCGACGTGGTTTGGCTCCGTGATCTGTGTGTCTTCAAATCCCACTGAGTGTCTCAGAAGCAGTGTGTCTTTAGAGCATCTTTCCTGCCGATGTTGTTGACTGTATTTTGTCCTTATTAATGATACAAAACGGTGTGCTTCTCCACTTCCAAGATTAACTTACTATTGTCTGTGGCGTCAGAACTCCTTTGACCTGCATCTGACTGATTATTTTCTGGTCTGGTGCCACAATATTGATGTAGCGTGAAATTCAATCCAGATTCTGCACAGGGTATTTTATTTTAAACTAAAAACACACTGCAGTCCAGAGGAAAGGTCATTGTGGAATGCACTAAAAAAAATCAATCTTTTGTATTAAAAAAGTCCAAAAGAGCCCAGACCAGGAAACTGTATATACTTATGTGTCAATATAACACTTAATTATTATTTTAAAAGCCCAATTTTCTCTATTTGTTTTCTGGATGACGCCATGTTGTGTTGTAGCAAATGCGCTGGCACCCCCGCTGCGTAGAAGCATACCGAGGCCAAGGAGGCTTAGTGTCACAGGTGTTTGTTGAAGTAAAACAGCAAACAGCTTTAAAATGTGAAGCTAATGTAACATTTTATGCCAGCTAACTGCAAGGGCTAATCACTACCAGGTGTCTAACATGCAGAATTATCTTTTTGTTTCCTCCAGACTTTTGGGGCAGATGACGTAGTGTGCACACGGATTTACATCCGGGAATGAAGCTCTGCAGCCTTCATCGGGACAAGGGAGAAACACAGTTGGACCACAATTTGTTTAAACCCAACAACTCTCTGTCATGCTAACACGCTAACACATTTGCAAAGTATCCTGTGTAATCTCTCAGCATCAGTCTGCATAGTCTCCACAAACAGTAGCAATGTCTCTGTAATGATTTGTAGTGAGTATTGTGTCTGCAGTACAGTAGCTGGATTTCTCAATGTCCATATCTACAACCCTGGTGTCAGCTGTTTATGTAGGATTTAGTCATCAGTTACACTGATTAAGTATTCATGTTCAATGACGGGACACAATAAAAAATGGAACCAACAGTATCAGAGTCTCTTTCTTATAATATGCATGTCTATTAATGATATCTTATGGAGTTTATGTGTAAACAAACTGTTTTTATTTTTGGTACATTGCTATATCTCTTGACTCATGGAGTTGTAAATATTAAGATTTGCCATTTTTTTCAAAGTAACTACACTAGGGATGAAAACCTGTCTTAACCGAGCATATAGGAGAAACTATGATGATTATACACTAATGAAAAAAAATATAGGAATATTGTATTCAATTTCAAATTCCACTCCATTCCACTAGATCCTGCATTTACTAACTCCTTTTAGCCTTGCTATACTACTACTACTAACAAGCACTATGAACTCATACTACTGAAATCTGAAAGAAAAAACAACTGGTGCAGGCATTTTAGAAGTCAGTGAACTCAGACAAACTTCTGAAAAATCCTAAACTGATCCTTTAAAAAAGCCTGGGGTTGAATACCCCACATCCCGTCATGCTCCAGCCTCCCACTCCCTGCTGCCATTCGTCACTGGCTTCGCTTCTTCCCAGACACTCCCGAGAGACACGTCTTTGTGTCTGATGCAGTTCTGAGGCAACAAGATTAAAGACAGAGTGGGGCGGCAAGATAAGACCAGACAGACTGGAGCAAATACAGTCAAAAGCTTCCAAGCAGGGCCCTGTCGCTACAGCATGACTAATGCGACAGTTGCACATTTACATGAGTTGTCTATTCACGGTGACAGACAACATAAGAGCTTTCATTTTTCATAATGGCTTTTAAATTCAGAGAGGCACGTGGAGATATGTTATTTCTTTGCGGGATGTATTTTGGCAGACAGTAGATGTGAGAGATGAGGAAGGTTGTCCTAATGTGACTTTCCCCTCAGGGTCTGTCATGTGGAGGCAACATTATTGGAGTGAACAGTAGCGTTGTGGTCAGTTCATCTATCTGACCTCATTTGCTTCACTAGCCTTTCTAACCTGATTGCCCAGTGGTCTATGTTGCCCCTTGTTTTACCAACAAGGTGGTCGGATAGAGATGAGAACATAAAAAAGTCCAGTGAATTGGAAGGCAGAGAAGCAATAATGGAAGCAGATTGTTTTCATTAAACAATTAAAAAAAAATCCTTCTGCAATCTACATACGTTATGAGTAATAGCTCCTTATATCACTTTAGTGCAGTTTTATACAGTACAATGAAAGCTCAGATACTACACTGAAGATTCAAGTGTTTTCTTCGTCTCTTTTTTATGGCACTTTATTTAAACACCTGATTGTAAAGAAGGATATGAAACAGGGAAAGCCAGAGGTGCACAACATGTGGTAGGAGTCTATAGGTGACACATATTTTGTAGCAATGGAACATTTTGGGACACCAATCACAGCACCCAAGGTGTGTTTGCACCTGTGTTTGGTCATTTAAGATCAGCATTGGACTTCACATGAGATATTCATGCATTGTAGCATAAAGCAGATGTGTAAAGGAACCAATTGAGTGCAGGATTTCAACAAACCATGAGGACCTTAGTTAACTTGACATGCGCCACAACTATTACTGGCGAACTTCAACTAAATCAATGAGCCATAGGCCTATACCGTAGTCAGACTCTTGTCGAAGTCAGCGAAAACATCTTTTCCATCAAGAAAAGCCTTCAGTGCTGTTAGGCATGATGAGTGAGATTGGTTAGGACTAGGGTAAGCCAATCAGAGGCAGAGTAGGGGGGTCATGATTTTGCCATCCTGGAGAAAAAAAACATACAAAACATACTGTAGCTGCCAGTATTTCCTCAAAGGATGCTGATTGGTCTGGTGCCATGTAGTTTGGCACCAAATGCATAGCTTGAAGCCTGGCAGGATGGATTCTCAAGTGATTTCATGATCTCGCAAGTCCAGCTTCCTCACAAGGTTAGACCTTAGAGTCAAGCTGGTGCTCATGAAGGGTTCATGATGCAAGCTGGCCTGGAAGTGTGAGGGAATCCCTCAGGAAGAGCTCTTGGTATTCACTGGGGGAAAAGGTTGTGGACGGGTGCCCTGCTGCTCTGACCATACTGATTAATAATGTAATGTGGCAGGATTGGTGGGTAGACAGACAGACGGTAAGACCGACAGTCAGAAGAAATGGATGGATGATGCAATCAGAGCTACAGTGCAAACATCTCTATAAATTTCAAAATGAATTAATCTTTCAGTTAACATTTTTGGATGTTTATTTGAATCAAACCAGCCCATGCATTAATGTTGATTTACAGTACAAGTAACTGAGTAACTCTTTATTTGCTTGTAGGTGGAGTACTCCCTCTTTCTTCCTCTGATGAGCTGGGGCTGTTTTGTTTATTTAGAAACTTTTTTTCTTTTGGCTGAAATAAATGAACCCATTCACACATGTTGGAGTCCAGGACCCATAAACAAAATGTGTCTCATTGTGAGGTGTGACAAAGGTAAAGTAACTGTATTTCATTTTCTTAGAAACCTTTTGGACTCCCCTGTCTTGAATTTAGCTTTTGTTTTATTTCAGCAGTGTTTCAGTGCTGCTCAGGAGCTAATTTACTGTTTTGGTGCACGATCCAGGCAGTGCACTACTACCATACAAATCTTTCTATTGGAAAACCACTGGGGAACTTATTCAACACACTTCCCCGGAGCAGGTGCACAGCACATGTAGTCTATGATCCGGGCCAACACAGTCTCACCAGTGGTCAGAGGCTTTGGCATGGACTTCAGTCCAGTCCTTGGGGTGGATATGGCCAGAAAGTGGCAAAACATCAAAAACAAAAAGCAAATCTGTCTCTGTCCTTCACGGCTTCCAGGGATTAAAAGGTTGTCCTTTCAACACTCGGATTCGCGAGGACTAACACAGTGGCACGGCGACTGTTCCCATTCCTCAACGCCAAGGCTGCTGGGCCGACTCTATACCACCCCTGCTTTTTGACCTGGTATCCCCTGAAAGAATGAGTTTCCTCCTCAGTGCACCACAATGCTCCGGGAAGCAAGGGCCAGGGCGCTCGCCTGCTGTGATGTTAATTTAATGACAAGCTGCTGTTCAGATGGCAGGTCCAAACAGCTGAATAAAGGGATTGTTGTGTTTTTGCTCCATTTTATAGAGAAGGGGCCCCTCCGCCTGTCTTAAAGCTCTCTTCTGGGCACCAAACAGTGGAGCCTCTGTGAGTACAGTGGAGTTCAACGCCGCTTCCCTCCTCTTCTCCACTTGGTGTCCCAGTTTAGCTCCTCCCAAAGCCTGAGTGGGTTTTGGAGTTTGGGAAACTGCTGAAAAAGGCCTGTTGGGTTTTTTCTGCACAATAAGACCTAAAAGACTAATTAGTGCATGCTTTAAAGGGAAGTACAGTTCCGAGCAAATGGGGTCTTACTTTTCTTTATTTTGGTCACCATTCCTTTTGGTAATAAGATTGTATGCACATAGTTAGTTGCTGAGATGTGGGAACACAACAACAACAATAAAATGAGGTCAGATGGGAAAAGAAACCAGAGATGTCAGATAATCAGACGTGTTTTAAACAAACACCCAGGTCAGCACAACTTATTAAGGAGAGAAAATGAAGACACAATGTAAAATTATGACCAAAACTTTAGTTTTAAACCAGCACCAGCATCATCACTGTCTATCACAGTTTACAGATAGACTGCATGCAATGAGAGATTATAAATGACATTACTGCTCCGCTCATTTTGCATTGTACCTCCAAACTGAGTAGCATGGATAAATAGATGAAAACTCTTGGCTTGTTTAGTGATTTTCATAATTTTCTGGATCTCAGCTATTACTGTGGCAAGTTCAGTGCCATCATAACTAATAGAAACCTCTGCCAAACTTACAAACATGTGACCAAAGTTGTAATAACCTGTAACTTTCATTTGGCTGTAATTAAGCATTAGAAGAAAGAGTAGAACATCTTCTACATAGTGAGACAAGCTTTCAAATATAGCACAGTTTATAACAGGTTTATGTGATGTAATGGCTTTATTAATGGCCAATTTATAATTTTCATCAATGAATTAATGATTATTCTTCAACAGCCAAAAGCTATTTATATGAACAACTTTTGGGTTGCCAGGTTGTACAGACATGCTAGCTGTTCTGTGACCGTGACACTGAGACACAGCAGTGGTTTGAACTAAATGCTTACTTCAGCATGCTTATATATTCATAACATAGACTGTATAATGTCTGTGACGGCACCCATAGGTTTCCTTAACAGCCGCTGTGAAGCTCAGTGTGGCTAATCCAAAAATGGGCAAAGACAAGGAGCGTGGGTGGAGCTATGGCGGGCTGAATGAAGCCTTGTTTCTGAAAACAGCTTGTGACGGCACCCACCTGTCACTCAAAGTGGCCATGCCCTTGATTATGCACAACTTTCACCCTTGACATCATTAAAAAGGTTATATAAAAGTTCACCCCCTAAACTGGGAATTTAGTTATGGAGACTGAAACCATTCTTTGTGCCAGGCTGTAACGTCAGAAAATGCTAATTGGTGCACATGTATTTAACCCTGGCAGATGGCGCTGACTAACCCTCTAGAAGGTGTACCATTCAGCACATTAACTTACATGTACTGCATATGAACACCAAGGGAGGATGGAAAAGGTCAAGTTCAGCCAAGTGTCTGTGTGTGTGTGTGTGTGTGTGTGTGTTTGGTGGGCAGGGGGGGCTGTCACATTTAATTTCCCAGTGTGCTTTATCCTTTGACGTCCCCAATGACTTTCATCTTGTGATATATTTAGTCACGCCTTCACACTAAATGGCTTTCTCAGGAGGCACGCACATATTCTGAGCGCTCTGGCAGTCGCAACTCTGCACAAATGTCTGCTCAGAAGAAATTTCATTGCATCATTTTGGAGTTATTTTGCATGCAGGCAGTGACTTCTTCCATGGGGGTGCATTCGAGGACACTGCCAGAAGCTGTACTTCAGAGTTGCAACTAAACAGTAATATTTTGATGTCAGGACACACATCATCTTGTTGTTATGGTGCTTGCCTATTGCTTGTCTTCTGGTTCCGTATTTCAATAGCCATGAAATGCTTTAACTAATAGACCTCCAAATAATGCATTTCAGTGCGTATCTTTTCAATTTCCCACCCTGACTCCAAGTCTGTTACAAGTCTGCTTTTTTAAAGGTTTGGTTCACTCAGAATCCATATCTCTTGATATCTAACCATGCAGACAGATTTGGTTTTAGGTGCTCAGGTTTTGTCTCTAATATTTTCACAGCCACAACAATACAATTGAAGCAAACAGAATGTCATTTGTCGTCCTAAAAGCATTGAAAAATTACATTTGAAAAACATTTTTTCACAAACTGTATCCTTGTTATACACTACCTTTGAGCATCAAAAAATTGATTAACCATCACTGTATTGGGTGGAAGCGGAAATCTAAGAGATGGATGTCTAAAAAAACCTGGACAAATAAAAGCAAAACTATTAGATACCACTCGAGCTGAGTAATTACATGTTTACTCCTGTGTCTGTAGAATGATAACATATAGAGGAAAGGAAAGAAAGGAAACTTGAATGTATAATTGTCATTAGTGACAATTTGGTGCAAGCAGTGATCTACGTGTCAGTAATCTTCTCTGTGTGTTGCTGTTAGCCTTCTAAACTGTATTCAGTTTTGGGCAGAGCCACAGTGAAACAGCTATGTCAGTAAATCTTAACATGAGTCACTAGTTAACATTTTAATGTGATTCAAAACACATGTCCCATTGGTAATGCTTATGAGATAATGATTTCAACATGTGGGAACAAAACAAAGATGACAGTAATTTATAAATGACACATCAACAATAATAAAGCTGACATTCTCAAACTCTGAATACAAGTACAGACGTCCAGATTGCTGCTAGGGTCCATTAGTCCACTGTGATGGATATGGATGCCAGTAGATTTTGTGGTACTTAATGGAGCATTACTCAGATGACAAGCAGACATTGCTGTTGTGTTAATAGTGGAAAAATAAGAGTCTAAAAGTCTAGTCTAAAAGTGCTTATGCTCTGTAAGGCGCACAGGCACAGTGTTGTTTTGGGATAAATACTAATAAGGCAATGCTACCACGCTGATGTTTAGCAGGAACAAAGTTGAACCATGTAGAGTCTACTAAGATGGTCTACATTGTAGACCATCTTAGTTTAGTGTTATTATACTTAACATGGAGTACAGGTGAGGCTGACAGGAATACCATTAGTTTGCAGGTATTTGGTCATAAATCAAAATATTGGACAAATTAAAAGTTGAGTTAATAATGACGTTAAATGAAAGACAGAGGATCTGAAGTTGTTCCAATTGCACCAAATTTCATGGCATCTAATGGTTGCTTACTGCAATATATTTTATCTTCTGGGAACCAGAATGTACAAAATGTGTCGCATAGCGTGTTCGTATTTACTGCAGCATGTGGTCTGTATCTTAGTAAAGATGTAAGAACACAAGCTAAAGAGTGGTCACATGGATCTGTCAATCCAGAGCACTGCAGGCCAGGATAAGTGACCTTCTTGTGCTCGACACCTCTGCAGTAAAACGGCAATTAAAAGGTTAAAGCTTGCTGAAGTTACTAGAACTGAGCACGTTAACTCCACTGTTCAGCACAGGAGCTTGCAGCGGTTATGTAAGAGTGCCAGACCTCACTAATCCTTTTATAGGGGAGAGGAGCCTGCAGGGTAGCGCTTTCTCATCATCAAGACAAATCAGCCTGTAAAGCAGACATCTCGGCTGGGCTGTGCATCCACCACCATACAGAAACATCCTCTCATATAGGCAGAAACAGCCCCTGGGTGCAGCGGGTAGCAATCACCGACAGAGTTGTGAGACAGATGAGAAGATGACAGACGAGTGCTTTGTGTTATTAATAGCTGCTCCAATTCATGCTTCTTATTCTTCCAATCTGCCGGTCTTCAAACCTTCATAACCCGTTCCAAAAATACATCATAGTTTTGGATAATCTGCTTTTATTCAGCGATGCTTTTGATGTTTTGTGCACACAGAGAGAAAACCTGCCATCATCCAAATGCTGTAAACTTCTTGCACGTATTCAGAGGTTTTGTTCCTGTTTAAAGCTCTGTACTGTGTGAAAGAATGCCTGTTGAATTTTTAAATGAAGCAAACACTGTACACCCCCCTGCCTTCCCACATACAAGAATAAAGAACAGAAATCTACGTGGTCACTCTCAGTGAGGTAATTGCTCTGCATTGTGATTGCCAAGGCCTCCAAGCTTGAAGGACAATACACGCTCTGTAGTTGTGACAATAGCTCCCGCTCTCTGAGTCAGAAGTTGCGGAAGCGCCGACATTAGGGAGCTGAAAGCTGCTGAAAGTTCAGGAGTGTGCACTCCAAGGAAGAAATCACGCAGAAGAGCTTTGGGAGGCGAAAAAAAAAACCTCCCTCCACTCCCCCTCAGCCGGTGCTGCCTTTGAGGAACTCATTGTTAGCGCTGCCAGTGGGAGGCATGGAGGGCTCTGCTGGCATGTGTCGGCCTCACTCCTTGTCAGGGCCTCAGCACCGTGATGGGCCAAGTGGGTAAGGGGTGTGTGTCTTTGAGGGGATGTGTTTTGTTAAGGGTCTGAATGCTGCAGGTACTGTAAGTGAGGTGAAGTTTGGGTTTGGGACGTGTTCACCCTCGTTTCTCTCTACCCTCTCCTCGGGCAGTGTGTGGGACCACCCGCAGAGGCCCGGTTCAGCCTGGCCAGCTTCCCACTGGAATTCAGGTTTTGCATCACAGAGCGATTGTCCCCCATTGGAGCTGAATCTCACAGAAATCGGCCAAGAGTTTGTTTTCCACATACCAAAGTTTGGATCATATGAAGATGTACATAGTTTTGATTTAATTTCTCCAAGATATCTCCGGTCTTGAAGGCCATCAGTTTGGTGCATCAAGTAGGCTGAAACCCCTACATACAATCACTTTCACTGAACTTTTTGACTCATGTGATTAACTGACTTAAAAAAAAAATAGTATGGTGCTTTGAGGAAGAATCTGGCTGTAAATTTGCATCCCACAGTCAAAATGTGCTTTTGCCAGTTTCTGAACTAGTGAAAATATGTCTGAATGTGCAAAAATGCCAAACAACTGTACTTCTTATAATGAGCAGATTTTCTGCTTTTTTCTGTTAAATATGATTTAATTGAATACATTATACATGAGATATTTGGAGATCACTTTAGATACCATTTTATCGATTAAACAATAGAATAAATGAACCCATATAACCTCATTGATTGAAAATAGCAATGAGTCCTAATGCCAACGGCTGCCTGGAGTTTTACAGCTTCTGGTCATCTTCCTAAGGGAGCGATGAAAACTGACACTGGTCCAATACTCATGGAGGGAAGAATCTTCAGTCATGATTACACATGTACTTAATCAGTTAATTAATAACCTGTAAATTAAGACTATGAAGCTGTGATGGAACAAAGTCCCTGAGGGTCTTCAATTTAACTTCAAGGAAGCTTAATATTCTTGTAAAAACAATATTGTGTGTGCAAGATGCAAGGAGCTCTTCATTTGGTGGACAGCTAGAGGGCTCCCTCAGCAGGATTTGAAGGGAATATCATCATCTGATGGAGAATAACTCCTCTGTACAGACGTGAAATTAATTATTTAATGCTACATTTATGGTCATATGGGAATGATAGAAAACCTTCCAAATGATTTATTATTAAATCTAGTTTTAGTACTTCCCAGCAGTGTACAAAAATCATTACTAATGATAAAATTAATGAAATTAAACCAACCTGGATCCAAACAAGAAGTAGGAAATGGATGGATGAATTAACCAATTAAAGAAAGATGAATTCATTTAACTTTTATTATGAGATGATGAGCTGTCCAACTACTGTCGCTAGCAGTAGTGACTGTTAACTTTAACAGCCTCCTGCACAACACAATGGAAACACTGTCAAAACAATCCCACTTTAAGTTGATAAGTGTGTAACATCTCAGATATTTGGATATGTATGGGACGTTTAAGAACTTTGCAAAGGAGACTCTTTACAGCCTTTAAAAAAAAAAAACTGACCAGTGCTTTTCAAGACTGGAAATGAATGCAGGATCACAGCTTTAAGCTTTTGGCATTTCATAAAAAGAGAAAATATTCCAAAGATTCTGCACAATAAGTACAATATACAATAAAAACACTGTGTATATACAGAAGAGACGTTTGAGCTGGTGGGTACACTATTAAAAACTCAAGAATTGTGTTACAAATGTTTCCTGTGGGAATCATTCAGCATGGACAGACTACGATTTGTCTAGTTGTCTATGAGGTAGTCTTCAGTACCAGGAAGCACTATTCAAAAACTATATCCGACAAGAAAACCAGTGCTAATCAGTGTATTTTTTTTTATTGTGCTGAATAAAAACATGTCTGATAAGAGATAAACAGGGCAGGTTCTGCTTCGGATTTCCTGCCAGTTTAACAGAACAACGGCTGAAGGTAACAGATGAAAGTGTGAAAGAAACAACTCCACAAAGGGCTCTGTAGGCTACAAATGTCATTTTTATTATTACTTTAAATAATGTCTAAATAAAGGGACTAAAGACATGCTTGTGTGACTTCTTCCAATATCAAAAATATGGTGTTGGGGGGTGATGTTTGCAGCAGAAATCTATCCAGGGAGGGAAGCGTGCATCACAAGGTGAGACCGTTGTGGAGCCCATTCATCTTAACACTGAACTTTGAAATGAGTCCCACCATCACGTTGGACGGTGTCTGTTGTCAAAAGGGGGCAGTGATTTTTTACCAACCAAATGTCACATTCAGAAGAAAAAAATAATAATAATTTTCATATATAAAAACTGAAAGACCTGGATACATTTCTACTTTTCCACATGTTTTTACTAAAGAAACTAAAAAAGAAAGACATAAAGGAACACACAAAGGGGGAAAAGAGCTATTTTTATAATCAACTCCCTTTGGTAAAAACTGTAATAAATGGTCTTGCATTTGTCTTTTTCATGTACATACTAACTTTAGCCATTTATCACTAAAGTCCACAGTAAGCTTGGAAAGGATTACTAGCACAACAACACAGATCTGTCATAAAAAGTCTGAGACTATATACAGTGTATTTACAATGTGAGCGGCATGTGGACAGTCCTCCCAGAATGAGACGTGTGTGTGTGTGTGTTTGTTTGTGTGTGTGTGTGTGTGTACAAGCTGGTGTATTGGCGGAGGGCAGTTTAAAAAGGTTGACTTCCCGGGCGGCGAGGATCATTTGTGTTAATAGAACTATATATAATATATATACACAACACATACACTGGAATACATGTCAGTATCTGACATTCACAAGCTATACAATTTTACAGTCTGAGACCAAACAGTGTTGTGAGGTTAATTATTTTGTTTTGTTTTCTTTTTTTTTCTTTTACATAAACGCAACAGTGCTTTTTGATGTTAACCCGACAATACTGTTTGGGGCTCAGGCACAGTTTCTAATAATGCTGCCATGTGTTCTGGAAAAGGAAACGTCACCCTCTTTCCGTCTAGTGATAGGTACATAATTGTGATTTGGCCTTAACGCAGGAATGTCTGAACCAGATCTCTCAGACTCTGTTGTGCTCCCTCCAGACCTTCAATCTGGGAAACAAAACTTTTGAAACAACATTTTCCTCTTCATAAATAAGTGCACTTGTCCACCACATTGTTCTCCATGGATACTGTAGTATTAACACTATCATAAAGAAATCTCTCTCTGATTGGATTTCGATGGAGCTCTAACTCTGATGGCTTCAGGCAAAAATGGCCAGTCAAAAGCTAAACCAAAGCTCAGTTGTAATAAAGTACAAAAAGCACCACTCTATCTGTTTACGCTGCTAAGCCCCGTCGAAAAGGCTCAGGGAAGTTTTGTTTTTAGAAGTGGCTCCGAGTGCTGGTAAGAGCTCAGGTCTGCGACTGGATCATGACGATTCCTAAGTTTTGGCACCAAAGGCCCTGCGAAAAAAGGGGCCCAGCTAAAAACGCTGGTAAAATCAGTAATCCTGCCGCCCTGGGTGCAACATACACGGTAGCTAGCTTAATTGTGCTCCCATGTCGGCCTTAAAAACACATTAATAAGCCCTCGTCCCTACATCTACTCCTGACCTGTTTGACTTCAGACCAAACACCCCCAGAAATCAGTCTCTCTCTCTCTCTCTCCCTCCCCCCCCCCTTTCTCCTCAGCTACGGCGCCACGCTGGGTGTGCCGTATTTGACGCGATACTTGTTGATGTTCATGAAGTGAAGGATCTCTGGCTGGCGGGTGGTGGTGCAGGGTAAAAGGCCGTCGCGGCCTTCACCCATCAGCCACTTATTGGTCTCGGCGTTCATGTCGCGGGTGACGTGCTCCTTGACCCATGCATCCACCCAGGCCTGGAAGCGTTTGTGCAGGCGTGTGCTCACCCTCTCGTGTGACTGAGGAAAAACAAAATGTACGTTATTGAGTTGTTATAACACTCAACACACACAAACTCAACACACTACAAGATCATATAGCTCTTAAGTGACTAGAGATGGTGAGCACATGAAAGAACTCTCAACTTTACACTCACACACACAACACAGACTGAGTGTTGTGAGTAATCAGCACCACTGATTGAGTGTGTAGCTTTTTGCATTAGAGCTCCCCTCACTGGTGACTAAAAGCCCCAGCATTCAACTGATATACAGCCTGTTACACTCCTCTATAAGTCCTGTCAACATAGACCTAGTTTATACTGAACTTAAAGGAATAGTATGGCATTTGGGGAAATACGCTTAGATTACACAGAATATGATGACAAGATTGATCCCTCTCATATCTGTACAGCAAATAGCCACCTGATTGGACAGAGCTGAAGATTGCTGTTTTCCCCGTTTTCATACTTTAACTAAGGGAATGATTTTAATTAGCAACATGATCTGTAATGTCACCTCTGCTTAAAAACTAAATGTAAATGAGTATATCTTCTGCTGAACCACTGTGATGAGCAGGTTCGAAACAGCTAAGATACCTCATATGAAACTGTAGAACAACCTGCTTACAGGGATTTGAATACTGGACTGGTTTCAGATATTGTGATATAATGGTTTTCTGAATTGCTTTGCAATAATTAGATCTGTATAACAAAAATATGATATGTTGTAAATTGGCAAAATCTTTTTATGGACATTTTTATTGTTTCAGAAATCTTAGTTTAGTCAATATGTTTTAACAAAGGCCAACGAAAGCCTCGAATCAGATGACAAACCCAAAGATAGAACTTCCTCACTGTTCCTCCAACACGGTGAGGGAGTAAAGGAGAAATCCATTCGGTGCAGTAACTGTGTAATAGCAGCAGTGAATACCTGGTGAGCTCGCAGCAGGGCAGTGCGTCGGTACATGTAATCCTCAGACTTAAAGACATAAACCATCTTGTACGAGTTGAGTTTGAACATGCACTCCATTTTCTCCTTTTCCAGGGATTTTTTCCCACCCTCGCAGGCCTCTTTGTCCAGCTGCTCTCGACCCTTCTGGTACTTCCTGATCCGCCTCAGATTCCTGGTGTCGAGAACAAAGACAAACGCGAGAACGTGTCAGAACAAATCCATTAAGAGTTCATTTAATCAAAAGGACCCATGTTCGACGGAAATGTGTCAGAGCGCTTACAGATCCCGGCCATTAACGTCACCCTAATTTGACAACTCACCTGGGAAGGAAAACTGGCTTCTGAGCGAGGTGCTCCCTCAACTCAGGTGTGGTGGAGTCTGGGTTTAAGTAGCGTCCCACATAATCAGACCAACGCTGCGAATAAAAGTAAAAAGTAAAAAAAATAAAATAATTTAAGACAGATTATAAACATTACGTCTAACACCAGTATTACCAAAAGATTGGCAACAGGTCCTTACTAGTATTTCCACTCCAGCTGGAAAAGTGGACCTTCTTACTAGACAAAATGTAAAAACAATGACAACTTTTATTTGCAGTTATTCACTAGATTAATTCTTTCCCCTCATATAATATGAAGATAATACTCATAATAAGATTTTTTTTAAATATGACATAAGCAGCCAATTCAGTCACATCAGTGTGGGAATTTAGTCAAAAGCTGAACACTGTGGTTGGGAATTTGCAAAACTCCTAATTTTGGCAGTTTACCAACCATCACAGAGGCTCAGCTGGATTAAAAAAATCCTGACTGGCTTGTAAAAACAGTTTAAAAAAAAGAAAAAAAGGGGGCTTATGTATTTTGGAATTATTGTATAGCTTGTGAATTACAAAGTTATTTCCCCTGCGTTTATCCAAACCCTTTGATCAAACCTTAAAACTGACAGTTTCTCACCTCAGCCTCCATCGGCTCGTCTGAGTTCTCCTCCTCCGTGTCGAGCAGCTCCACTGTGAGCTGAACCTGCGCTCTGTTCCTCAAAAACATAACCTGAGAAAGTGAAAGAAACGTAGCAAGTATGAGGCTAAATGAAATCAGTGTGTGAGAGACAAAGTCAGGACGTCCTGGGGGCTCAGAAAATGCAAACCAGGTTGGAATCTATTATTTTTGTTGTGAGTCACGCCGTCTACCAAATCACAAGTTCCTCAGCTCGCTCTTCTTCTACGCGTTTAATAAACATATAGATGCAAAGAAAAACAACGTAAAGACAGCCCTATCTAGTGGTTTGTCCCTTCTGGGCTACTGTAGAAACATGGTGGACTATGGAAGGCAACCCACGGTGTGTGTATATAACAGCAGCTCATAGTAACAAACACACAACAATTCTGATATTCAGGTGATTATACACGAATGAAAACATACTTATAGATATTATATTCCATTGTTGCCAGTAGAGCCTCCTCAATGTTACACACTGGACCTTCAGTGCATCATTTTCACACTGTGCAAAGCGAGCAGGTTGTCAATAGTAAAAATGATGCTTTCAAAGTAGGTCAAAAGGGAAATTTGCCTTAAGCTGCTTTACACATTTCCAGTGCTACACCAAGTATAACTTCAAAAAAGGATGTTAGAATAATTGGTAAGCTACAGACAGCACATTATCATAACCGGAATTATTCACAGCACTGCTTGAATTTCACTCATTATTTCTGACAATGTGTGGAAGATTTATCGGTTGTAAACACACCCGAGAACAGAATTTAAATTAAAAAACAAAAAACAATATGAGACGTCCTGATGGTTTGGGTTGGTAAGGGTGGGATGTTCCTCTCTGAAGCAAACAAACTGGATTCATTACAGCAACCACTCCTGCAGCCTTGAGGAACATTAATCATTTTAAGTACTTACTTACTCCTTAAATTAACTTTAATTGAACTCATTTCCATAGTTTCACTACTTCTCCACAATGTTTCATCCCTGTCAGCAGTGTTTCATAATCTGTCGGCAACCATCTGTTGGAGCTTCGTGTGTTTACCTTGAAGCAGTTCTCGTCAGACATGAGATGCTCGGCTTTCCGCTGGTAGATGGTCTCTGCGGAGCTCCGTGAAGACTGGGTGGACATGGCTCCTCCGCTGGCGCTGTTAGCGCTTTCTGAGAGGTAGAGGTCCGTTACCTGGACACAGATCTCATCACTCACGATGTGCTGGAGCTGGATGGAGACAAGCAATTGTGTTTAAGTGGGAAACAACCATTTAAAAGTGTAAGATTTACTATGTTCTGTACTAATTGAGGCTTAATGTAACCGAACTTAATGTAAAAGAGATCAGAAAACTGAAGGTGACAGAACAAACAGATGCTCACCTGCCGGACGATGCTTTGGATGAGCTTGTCCATCGTGAAGGCGATGTAAGCGTGAATGGTGAACATTTCCCTCAGCGAGTCTTCGTACTGCGAAGCCTCCATATTTCCATCCAGCAAATTCTTAACCATCTCCAAGAAGGCTGAGTAGTAATCTTCCACCTCGATGTCCACTAAAGAGAAGAAATATGATTCAGCATCAGCTGGCTAAATAGATCACCACGTGACAGAAAGACTGGCGGCATTTCAAATCAATCAGTTCAAGGTTCACATACAGCAAGTGTTTGTACTTTCATTCACTTTTGGTTTTCTTTACTAACTTTTGCCAGTGTTTGTTTATTCACATTGTTTAGAACTGTTTACACCTCTCTTACTATGTCAGCTGTTGGCAATAAGCCTACAAACATTTTTAAAATACTTTGCGAATCATGTGTCAGAACAGGAATGTGACCCAAAACACAATGGAAACAGAGGATTTGTGCTTAACTATCCTATACACAACCTCCTATAGGTTTACCTTTGATTATTGTGTAATATGCTTATGTGTGTGTGTATATTCTTGTATTTTTTATCCAATATGTAAAGCACTTTGTTTTAAAAAGTGCTATAGAAATAAAGTTATTCTGATTCTTATTATTATAGATGTCTGCCTGTTCTCTGTACTCACTGGGCTCCTTCAGTCTCAGCTGGATGGCTGGATTGTCGTTCTTCTCCTTCTTCAGTCCCAGGACTTCCCTCTCCCAGTCTCGTTCTCTGACCTCTTCTTCGATCTGGCGCTCCGCCTGCCCGTACAGCCGCAGCAAACGCGAGCACAACGTCTGGTGCAGTCGCAGGAAGATGTACCAGTTGTTGTTGACGTAGAAGAGGTTGTAGGCGTCGTCACAGCCGCGCAGCTTCTGTGCCGCCGTGTTGCTGAACAGCAGCTTGGACTTGGAAGGGCTGCCGCTGCCGGGGACGCCGTTGTGCTTTTTGGAGGCGCCTTCCTCCAGATCCATCTCCTCTTCCTCCTCCTCCTCCTCCACGTCGGAGAGCTCGCCCCGCTGAGCGAAGAGCATGTCGGGGATGAAGTGGTAGATGATCTGTTTGATCTTGTATTTGTCCTCCTTCTGAATGCTGGTCTGCCGCTTGACGTGGTGGATGATGAGCGCTGCGGCGTCCTCCAGGATCTGGCTGTCCTCGTACGCCAGCATCAGGTGGGGGCCTGTGGGTGGGGTGGCGTTCTCCTCAGATGCCTGCTCCTGGCGCTGCGTACCAAGAACAAATCAACGTCAGCATTTCGGATGTACACAGATCTGTATGATTTTTTTGTTGCACTGTGGTAAAGGAGAGATAAACGCACCTCATCATAAATGCTTTCGATTTCATTCAGCAGGGACTTGGATCGAAGCACTTTGGTGTCGTTCTGTTTGAAGTTGATGCCTTGATGGTCGAG